AGAAACAAGAATAAGAAAAAAAAAAACTGAAAATCAAAAGTAGGCCATAAACAAACAAAAAAAAGCATTATAACAAATAAATTCCAAACTTAGTTGTCAGATGACAGTAACAAACAAACAAAAAAAAAGCACAACCTCAGTTTAACGCATAATCACGAAGATATTGTGCGATATTTGTGACCATAGGACTATCAAAAGCGCTTGATAACTTTATTAGTTTCACATCACACTTCTCACATGCCACGAGAAAGGCACCTCTTGCAGCGGTCTCTGGAAAAAGACACCACCGCGTTTTGTACAACAGAGAAATAAGATGCAGGCACACCTTAATAGTGCGTTCGCGATCGCAGCCTGCTACTGGGTTGTCACACAAAACTTCGTGAAATATTGAACGTAAGCATGTCTCAATTAATAACACATTATGACGAACAACTTGCACCAGCACCAATTCAAACCCAACAATATCACTTTCCTTCGCACGTTCCAAGCATTGTCTGAGAAACTGGGCCTCATCAGGATATTGGCGCTGCTTAACTGCATACAAAACGCATCCGCCAAGAAGAACATCTACAGGAATCTCTTCGTCACTGATCGATCTGAAGTAATGCAATACAATAATCGCATGTCTAGCCGTCGTCCGAGAAAGATTGCTTGATAGCAGTCTGGTAATAGCATTCTCGTCGGTTTCACCTATTGAAGCTAATTCCATGTTGCCTAATGAATAAGAAATTCATATGAAATGTGACATTCTAAATGACAAAAAAAAAGATGTTTCAATAAATAAATACAATATACTAATATATGTATTAGCACCGTCATCAAGATCGTTTTGCTTCATATTCATTAATACCACAAACTAAGGTTAAAGAACCCCCACAACAATCTTTCAAACAGCCCACAGGTGGGCCGTATATATAGTATCATTTTTTTTGTGCTTCTTCACGTAACTTCAAAAGCAAATAATAATGAATAGCACTTCTAATTGGTATCTTTCAGTGGCTGAGCCAATGTATCGGAAGACTCAATGCTGGTCAACATGGTAACCGAAAATGCAAGTAACCCAACCAAGCCTAATCCTAATAAAAGACCCGTAGCAACATCAGCCGACATCGATATGGTATTGCTAGATAAAGCGGTAGATGCATCATCCGCAAAAGCCCACTGACTAAACAGAAACAATGCCACAAAGCCGAACGCGTAGATCCTCATATTTTTTTTTTGGAATTATTATTATTATCTGCTGCCCTTCTTGTTGCTAAGACTTGTTTTTGTTGTTAATACAAAAATTATTAGTAAAACAAGAAAATATATAATAATAACAATTCAATAGCCAAAAAAAAAAGTGTAATACAATATGTCATTATGATGTGTAATTTCGACCGTATCTTTACCATCCAATGATAAGCACTTTGGAAAAAATAATAATAATAAAAAGAACACACAAAAAGAATGGAAATAAGTCACTTCGTTTTTTTTTAAAAAAAAACTGATAATTTGTTTCTACTCTTCTCCAGTCTTATTCGCCCGCACATTACGAAGATACCATGCAGACCATACGTTACGTTCCCCGTCTGGAATTGCAGCATAGGTATGATAATCTGCGATATCACGACGAAGACTAGCCCATCGACTCAAAAGCTTCACTTCAGTTGAATCATCATCATGCAAAAATTCGCTTTTCAATAGATTTGCATCAGACAAAGAAACATGCGATAAAGTATCAAACTCAAATTCCCCCTCGACCATGCCCAAGAGTGATTGATAGTCAATGCGGTCCAGGTTCTCGCTCTCATCAGCATTGTCTGCCTGAAAGAATTTCGGCATCTCATAAGCTCGAATGGCCTGCCGGTTAACTTCACCTTTTAAGCGAACCGCGTCATGAATTTGTGCCCGTTTGTTTACATCTCCAAGGTATGTTAGCGCCAAGGAACGTTTTTCAGCTAGGACGCGCGATTTCCATTCATGTCCATCAGGGCCATCATCCCAAGTCAAAAACAATCTTCCAGTTGGAAATGGTAAAACTAATTTCCTTCGCATTCACCCTCATGAAACAAAGAAATAAAGAAGCAATTATCGTAAATCTCCATTTTTAAAAAAGTGATAATGACGTTTTTATCGTTTTATAATTGCTGTGTTATTTATTTTAAAAAAAAAGGCATACACAACGATAATACTTTTTAAACATACCCTCCCAGCATATATATATATCACATATTTTCAGCTTAATAGCAAAGAATTAGTGGTTCGAGGGGTCAAAAAAAAAAGATTCCTGCTATTTTCACTTTTGTTATCTAAAATTGTATTATTATTGCTAATTATTAGAATTATTTATATTATTTTATTTACTCCAATAAACGAACAATCCTCTTTACAGGGGGAAATATAGTGTCTTGTTTATTCAATATTGCACATAACGATTGACTCAAACGCTCCATTGATAAATTTATCTGTGTCATTATCGTTTTTTCGTCCATATTTTCGTTTCTAAACTGAGCAATAAAAGTCTTGCTATGAGTCTCAGATTTGCTACACACCATGTGCAAGAAGAAAGAAACAGGATCCTTATTGTTCTTGATCTGTTGCATATCGTCCTCTGTGCAGACAAGAGAACGTACTAGGCCAACATCTACATATTCTTCAAACTCCAGCAAAAACGTTGATCTCAACTCCAAAAAATCATTACCATCCAATTTCATATAATAACTACTTCCATACACAGAAACAACGTTTTCCCAGTCATTAATTTCCATTTCATCTACATTTTTGTATAAATTTTTAATTATTGCAAAAACAATACCAGTCATATACGCATCGTATCCCGCCTCATGTGCTTTTCCCTTACCTCCTATACATCTCTCATCATATAAGTGAAAACCGGGAGGGGAGTAAAACCTAATCGAAGTTTTAGATTTTTCATTCAGATTGCAACACTCTTTGTATAGACCTTGTAAATGTAATGAGGTCCTCGGTATTGAAAAAGTCATTGCCTTAGAAAGTGTTTTAGTATCATAAATGCAAGGAAATAACGCGTGAACTTGCTTTTTAAATTCCTCATACTTCATAGGAAGTTCTGCTTCATGCATATGCATCATAAACATTATGTCCAAAAAAAAATTATGACCAACAATAGGTTTCTTGCATTTTGTCAAACACTTCCACAGCTCTCGAAATCCCAATGTTTCCACAAAACTAGAAAAAGAATGAGAACCTAATTCTTTTTCTTGAAAATTTGCCTTTTGACTGTCAATGCGACACACCGTAATATATGCTGGAAGTTGGTATACTTTAGAAATGATATCGTACTTCAAGTGTACATATATATCTCGCTGCTTAAGAAGAAACATTACAATTGTTTTTATTTTTTCTGTCATAATCATATTAAAAGATAATGTGTCTTCTTCTCCTTTGGAAGGATTCAACCACCACTCTTCTATTTTATCAGCAATATGAAACGCAATTTTTTTTTCCGTATCAGAAGATCCATGTGTGCCTTTTCCTGCGCAATGCTCTTCTTTTTCTTTTTCTTCTTCTTCTTTATTACAGTAGTGTAATCCAGAAGCTAACCATTTTTGAAAATCCATTTCGTGTGAAACCAAAAATCGTATTGCCTCTGTATTTACAACAAAATCACCATACCCTTTTAGTAAATAGAAGTTGTACGGTTTCACCTCATAAATACCCTCTTCCAAAAGAGTAAAGAAAGTAATTCCAAACTGGAATGCTACATAACGCCGAACCACGTCCAGGTTCTCCTTGTAAAGCTCTGTCAAGGACATTAACTGCGACCTATGCTGATCTTCAAAGTTTACACCCGTCATTTCTTGGTCCACAGCGTAAAAATCACATCCTTCCAACGTTTTTTTAAAATCCTCAAAAATCAAAGGAAATGTTTCCTTATCCACGTTCATAGAACCCTATGGTATATGTATGTAGCTTATATATATATAACTATGCAAGCCGCCTATGTTTTGGCCCAAACCTTTAAAAGTATGCCTATTAAAAAAAAAAAAACTCCTCGTAAACAAATGAGCATAAGAATCGATTCGTATCAAAACCACTCCCAGTCCCCTCCGAGCCATCCGACCAAGGCCCTCTTGCCCCACTAAAAAACCGAGCCTGCCACTCTTCCCGCACACCTTCCTTTAAAAGATCATGAGGGACGCCCTGCCCCCAATGCCAAAATATTTTAAAAAAAGGCACTCACTTCGCCCGGCCCGCCCTCCCCCTATTTGTTGGGGGATGGGCGCTTTCGAGGGGTGTTGCGGCCGCCTTTCGCCCCGCGAGCCGACCGCGCCCGCCGCTTCTTCATTGTTGGGGGCCTGTCGCCCTCGACGCATCCTTATTTTGTTGAAAGCGCTTCTGGTCAATTGCCCCCCCTAGCGCCACCACCATTTCTTTTTTTTATGAAAAAGGAGGGATGCGCAATATATACTGTGAAAACTGACGAGAGTGGGGTTTGAACCCACGCCCTCGGAAGGATTGGAACCTTAATCCAACGTCTTAGACCACTCGACCATCTCGCCACACGCCCACCAAGAGGAGGGAAAGTGGAGCGATGACTTTCCAAGTAGGAGAAGACTGCGGTGGAGGTACGTCATGACGATCGCTACCGAAGTATGGTTGCGCAGGAGCAGCGCAATGTGAAAGCCCAGTGCTGTTGAAAGGTGGAATCAAAACTTAACTGTTCCCGAGTGAAGGGAGAAGCTGCGCGCCAAAAGACACAAGGGCTCCGGACGCATCCACACTGTTTAATTATGTTTTACTAGATCCACTGAGGAGTCTGCTTTGGCGATTTGCTGCGCCTGTGATATTTCCAGTGTCGTTGCTTATTTCTGTTTCACAATATGTTCTACGGTTGATGCTCAGCTTCCTCTACAATGGGGGCTAGAGAAGCATGACAACATACTGGGGCTTCAAGCTTACGGATATCATGGGCCTCAGCTTTGTCAATCCGGATCAGTTAACGGAGGCCGACAGCACCACGTTCTACGGTGC